TATTATAATCATAAATGTGGCTGACGTTTTTTGAGAGACTTACTGTTTTAGATGACGTGATGCCACTCTTTAATTAACAATATCCTCAGTTGTTAGTGTTACTAGAGACAGGACATGCTGACAATTCCAGAACGCATGATGCCAGAGTTTGGTATCTCAGCATCAGTTAAGATGTGTTAAGTATTTTTGGTTGTCAATGCGACACCCTAAGCATATAACCCACCTACTTGATAACGTCATTTGTATTTCTAAGAATTTCAGTAGCGAGAAACAATTTATTGAGCCTGTACTCAGTTTGTGTATTTGGCCAATATTCAATTTGTTAAATTCTTAAAGTGTGTTGGGTAGAAAATAAAAAAAAGTAACTGAGAATAATTGCATTGTAAATGCGCAGTTTCTGTATTTTTCTCTAGTAATTAGATACCTTGAATTATGTTAAAAGAAAAGTAGAATAAAAAATAACATTGCTGAGTTGATGAGAGAAATATATGACCTAACTTTCTTGTGCATTGTTAAAATAAATATCATATAATATATTTATAATAACAATAACATACTTTAAAGAGATTGTCATGAGGTTTTTTCTTTTTAAAGAGATTGTAGAGAGGTTAGATTTTTTTATGTGATCAGAGACACTGATATCATCAATTTGCACAATTTGTCTGTGGTTCCTGCAATTCCACTAAAACTTGTTGTTGACGTTGCTAATCGCGAAGCTCCGTATGTGATACAAGCATATTTTGTGATTCCTTTGAGCTGAATTATAAGCTCTATATAATCAATATGCTGATTGATTATTAGCTATAATCAATACAGATCAATCAATTTATTAACATGTGATTTTCATAATCAATATCTGCTTCATTGGCTGACCTAGTCGTGCTGAAATTTCACTTTAAAGGGAATTCATTTGTAGATATATTCATTTATATAACAGAGTTTTGCCTTTTTATGTTAAGAATTATCACTTCCACAAGTTTATCGATACAAAATGTGACTTAGTAAAATATTTTTGAGCTACCCAAATCGAGTAAATACTGTCAAGATCTGCCATGAATCAAAATTAAAGAGCCTTAAGGTGCTGATCTGGATCTTAACCAACTCTAGGTTGTACAGGAGTTACTGTAATCCAATTCTTTGCCTGGCTGTTTAACTGTACCATAATTAAAACATATAAGCTTATATCACAATGTTATGATGAAGTTTATTTTATACCTGGACTGTGATAAAAGCCGTCTTTCTTGTATCAGTTCGAAAGTTTAGAAATGCAGCGATTTGGTTGGATGGTATGTTGATGAATACAGCCAACCAGAGTCTTTTATGAAAAGTCTGTAAACAAAGGGCCTTCATGTTTACATACTTTATATCAGATTGGCTGTATTTTCTGGTGCTGCATTCCGCGATACAAGAGAGGAGTCAAGGTTTAATTACAATGTTTGTAATAGCTTGTAATTAGTTTGCGATATCAGCATCCGCTGGAAGCGAACGTTAACTTGTCATCTACCTACCTACCTAGCTTGACAATGATGTATACATGTAAGCTTTCTATAAAATCTTTTAGAATTCCTTTAAATCTGCAATCTCTTCATTTTTATATTCTAGACATGTCAGTCAGCTCTGTATTGATTAGGTATTTAATGTCAATCAGGTAATAAACTAGAATGTGGAATTATAGTGAATTTTCAGTATTGACATTTTATTGGTTGACACAATTAGGGCATAATGACACAAAATTATTTGATTACTTGCATATTTTCAAGGTTACTTTGTTAAGTGTTTAATTACATTTGTGTTACTTGTTTAACTTTTCTTTGCCTTACATATTGTGGTATTTTTCATTACCTTGTCCCACTGTTGAGGACCTCTTTACAATCCCTTTAATGTCCAGTTGCGTTAATTACCCCTAGTGGTTAAGTGGACATATGAAATATTGATGAGTAAGTGACATTCTGATTGAACTGACCACTGTGGATATGTTGTTATTTATTATTAATGAAAGATCTGATAAGATAGAATGAAGAATGTCTGTATAGACTGATGACTGTTAGAGAAGGAGGATTGATGTACATTGAGGATTTTATTGCTTAACTATGTGTTCGGCCTAGTTTGGATCTGATCATCCGACATTTGTCAAAGAATTGATTGTAATATTTTGAGTAATTTGAATATAAAGACTTTAGTGGACTTCCATATAGGATGATTGTTTGGACTGGTTGTTAGCTGTTTATCCAATTTTTGTTAAAAAATTGCTTGTTTGAAATGGTTAATTTCAATTAAAAGACTTTAAACGAAGGTTGTGTTGTATTTGTAAACCATATAAAAGTGAAATAGTCAAAGCAGTTTATTGGACTTTTACCCCAAAAAATAACTGGTGAAACTGTTCTATAGAGAAATATTTTGATTGTTTTAAACATGATCAATGGACTTTCAGAATGGGACTATATTGAATTTGTAAGCCATATGATAAAGTGGAATAAGCTGTTTCTAGCTGGAAAGAAGATAAGAATGTTTGTCGTTTGTCTTATTCCATCAGATATTTTTGGAAGGATGTAACAAGCACTAAGTGTATATCAATAAGTAATAATGATTTAGAGAACTAAAGGTAGAAATATTTCAAGATGAAGCAAGGCAGTTCCGTATTTAATTTACAGTTAACTTATAGTAATAGAGTAAGTTCTGATAATTTATTTCTCTTTTCTTATAAAATGAAATTTTGACAGCCTTCTGCTCCGATCTACTCTTCTTCATCAGTGGATTTCTATATCACATGATGAGAGGGCCCAGTAGGAAATTGTCAAGGGGGTGGCACAGGCCATTCTGTCACTGTGGACAATGATAAGAAATTTTGAAATAAAGGGGGGTGGGGTGGGAAAGCCCGAGTCCCAGGGCCAGGAAATAAAGCTAAGTTTTCAATCAAATTCATACAGCTCATCCATCAAGAAAAGGTAAAATTTGAAGATTATTGTGATAATGTTAGAAACATTGTGCCCTAATGAATAATTTGATATTTTTTATTCTTTTGATACAATTAGTTATACACCTTTAAAATCTGCTTCAAATTTGAGTAAAATCTCTGTTGAATATGAAAAAAAGTTTGTAGCCCCAGCTCAGCCCTGTTACAGGCCACTCTGTAGAAATGCCACTGTTCTATAATTTATCAGATTAATAAAATGAAATGGAATTTAACATGAAACACCATGTGTATTGTGTATTGTTCCTGTATTTATAAAGTTCAAGTTAAGGTCAAGAAGATAGTCTAATTTCTAAATTAATCTCAATCTACCTGATATTTATATTAACAACATTTGTTCTACTTCTAACAAGGTAAAGTTATAGGGGGGATACGTTCAGCTCCCAAATAACAAAAATTGTTCAAAAATCATTTCTCAAGAAGTGTTTAAAAATCATACATTGTGACACAGATATATTAATTTTTGTAAATACAATATAAACTTATTCTTATTTTCGTTTGCATTAAGTTTTTCATATAACTTTTAAAAAACTTGAAATTTCTTTCAGAGAGTCCACGGAAGCTCATGACTCATTTGGTATTAGGGGGGGAGTGCTGACAACTGCTGACTCTCGGAAGCACTGGCACAGGATTTGGTATTAAGGTTTGTCAATTTGACATCCCTTTTAGAGAGTCCACATAGCTAATATTGTTTATGTGGTATTGAGCTTTGTCAATTCAACATTTCTTTCAGAGAGTCCACATAGCTAATATTGTTAATATGTATAAGATTGTGAATTCAGCCATTCTGTCGGAGAGTCCACATAGCTCATAATATTTCTATGGTATCATAAAAAGCCATAATGATTTTTGGTTTATTTTAGTTTGTCAACTCAGTATTTCTTTCATAGAGTCCACATAGCTAATTTGAAATTTTGTGTTGGATTAGTTAATAAAGAGAACTTTAGTCTGTAAAAAAGAAATATGTGCTTGTAGTTTTTATACTAATACTGCAAAGCAAATTGGACTTCCAACCTTTCAACATTTATTGGAAGAATTATAGTGCTGTAGCTCTAGAACTTCTATATATAGATTGCTTCAGGTCTATTTATATCTTCAGCTTGCAGGAATTTCATTAGTTAGCTTATGTCACGTCTAATATTGGTTTATAAGTTAATCAGTTAATCTGTAAACTATTCATACAATGTCCAGTTATTAGTTCATAGACATAATTATGTTTATTGGTATGACCTATCAATAGGTCAGTGACTGATTGTGGACAATGATTCAATAAATTCAATCAATTTTGACAGTAAGATATAGGGCTGAGTGAATGAGAGTTGAAGTTTATCAATATTAGTAATAGTATTATAGGTAATATAAAGAGGTGTCTGTAAGTTAAGTGATTAAGTTTAGAGTTAAGGTTTAAACCAGTCATACTATAATGAGAAATCAATGTCTATAATCAGACCACAATAAAGAGATCAGAGAATTAGTTTATATAGGTCAATCTCATTTAATAGTTTTATATCGCCTCTTAATCAGTGTCCTTATTCTTTAAAACTTAACTTAAAATGATTTTAGTATTCTAGTCATCTGATTGGTCAATCACTAAAGTTGATTTTAAATTAAGTCTTATTATCCAATCAGATTACTGTATTTCTTCAAATTTGGATTTTTGTCTTAGTTATGTTTTTGAGAATAAGGCCTCTGTTTGATATGAAAATTATATCTTAAACATCCAATGTGTATCTATCTGTGTATATCTGATTGGACGATATCATAGACTTAATAATATTAACTACATATTTCAATGACTGATAAATCGGTTTTATTTCTTACGTGCATATAACCTTAACGATAATCATATATTTTTATGTCCTGTGCCTGTGCCTCTGTACCATTGTTTTCAATGCAATGTTACAACCTTTATTCCCTGATAATATCATCTGCAGATTTAATTGTTTTCGACTGTTGAATCTGTTTTATTTCCAACTTGCATAATTACCATTCCTATATATAGCCTACTTTTACCTGTGTTACTATATATCTAAATATAACATTGGAATGTGAATAATTTTCTGTGCTCTGGACTTTTATAGTGGGAGGGGGGAAGGGGGTAATAGTAAGGATTTATAGTGGGAGGGGGTAATATTAAGGATTTATAGTGGGGAGGGGGTAATAGTAAGGATTTATAGTGGGGAAGGGGGTGATAGTAAGGATTTATAGTGGGAAGGGGGTAATAGTAAGGATTTATAGTGGGAAGGGGGTGATAGTAAGGATTTATAGTGGGAAGGGGGTAATAGTAAGGATTTATGGTGGGGGAAGGGGGGGAGAAAGGGGGTAATAGTAAGGATTTATAGTGGGAAGGGGGTAATAGTAAGGATTTATAGTGGGAAGGGGGTGATAGTAAGGATTTATAGTGGGAAGGGGGTAATAGTAAGGATTTATGGTGGGGGAAGGGGGGGAGAAAGGGGGTAATAGTAAGGATTTATAGTGGGAAGGGGGTAATAGTAAGGATTTATAGTGGGAAGGGGGGTAATAGTAATGATCCTGAAAGGGGTTACAGAAAGATAAAGGTTGATGTATTTTGAAATGATAAAATAGAATGATTTAGAGTTATACCATCTTTTACCTTTACTTTATGTAGTGATGCAATAGATTGGAATTTCTAGAATTTCTTGGCTCATACGAGTTTACAAGATGTAAGAAAAGATAAAATATGTGATAGAAGGAATGATATTTACCTCTGTCTTATATTATGATGCAATAGAATATAATTATTAGTAAAGAATAGGGTCAGGAGATGATTTGATATGAGTCAGATTGGAGTTACCTTTGTTTTATCTGCTGATGCAACAGAATTGGGTCAAGAGATGATTTCTCGTTTCACGTGAGACGAATCAGAAGTAAAAACACTTCAAAATGGATAAGATTAGCTGTGGTTGTGGTGGAAGCGATAACATTTACCTTTTTTCTTATCTGATGATGAAATAGAATTGGTTCAACAGGTGATTTCTCTGCTCACGTGAATTCGAATCAGCAGTAAATTCCAATACAAGATATCGATAGTTAAGGTTGAAAAGGTGACGTCTGATGTCAGTTGTAAGAAGTTATTGATAGGTGATTAACGTTGTGACAGGTTTGTACTCTAGAAACCTAGAATATATGCTAATATCTAGGTCTAGTTCGGTGATATTTATAAATATACACAGTAATATTGACCTTAAATAACTGATATTGACCTCAAGTTTATCATAAATAGTGTAAACAGGATTCCTATAGCAGTCAAATATGAGGAGAATTTAACGTTTTTAAGCGAAGATAAGATGGCAGGCAAGCAAATGCAGGTATGTAAACTAGTGTGAATTGCAAATTAATACCAAGTTTCCGTGTGCATAGGGGCACCAGCAGTTGTAGAAAAATCAAATGAATTCAGTTTAATGTTGTCTATTTGCACCTACCTTATTGGGCTTATGAAGTTGGGCAACATCATGCAATGAGGGAAATTTTGCAAGGACAGTGGCACTTACCATTTCAAATCAATTTTCAGCCTTCATAGCCATGTGTGTTATACTTGGAAAAGACCTATATATAGATATAGAGAGTGAAACATTTCTAGTTTAAGGTATATTTGAAAGAATTACGCATTTTTCATGCAGTTCTAGTAGTTCTGAAGGTTATTTACATATATTTAATCAATCTCTGAAAATGGTGAACCATCAGTGTCATTTCTATGAAACATCAGGTGAGAGGGCGCCGAGGAGGGGCCGCAAACTTTTCAGGGGGTCACAAGCCATTCTTTCACTATGTTAAATGATAAAAAATTTGAAAGGGGGAAAGCCAATCCGGCCCTAGCCGTGACCACCCACTTCGAACCATGGCCTTTAATGAATGGTATGTCAAATCAACATTTTATTTAACTCAAGTTGGACTTTGACACTATTCCCCTTTACTAATATTGATTAGTGCACTTATGACTGCAGATTGAGGTCAGTTTATTTAGTTTGCTACTGATATATTAGTTCTTGTGCACTTAGTGTGTCCGCGATATGAAAGAAATAGCAGTATTGACAAGTTGGCAAAGCAATTCCCACCATTATTTTATACTATATTGACAATCACCTGCCATATAATCTATATACGAGACATCATACCTTTATGATTAAATATCTACAGCCTTGAAAATGTGCAATGGCAAGCTCAAGGCTTTTTAATTTGGTTATCAAGAACATTGGCAAATGCACATGCACATTGGCAGTGCACATTTCTCTATCATATACCCATGATATATAAGAACATTTTTGATAGTGACGTCATAATACGATTATTTTGAGTTGAATAGCTAGAACCACAGACGTTTGACTGAAAATTGGAATTGTGGAAATTGATGCTATCAGTGTCCCAAATACAGATAAAATTTTGAGAAAACCTCTTTACATTCCCTTTAAAGAAATACGATGTAATACACAAAATTTTCTGAACTGATTTCCTTGAAATGCCTGTGAAGTATTATATTTTAATTAGTATGTATTCTAGTATATTCTCGTAGTTAAAGTTCGTTATAGGATACAGAGTGAAAGTGACTTTTAACTGACTTCTCAAGATTAAACTACTTGTATTTAATAACTGTAATTACAGACTGCAGTTAGGTTATTATGGTATAAAATATAATAAAAGAATTCATTTTCATATGAATTATGAAAAGCCAACATATCAAACATGAAAACTTTTTTCCAATTTTCATTTGGAATCATCTTTGATTATCAAATAACGCAACTTTTCAACGATTTACATCAGTTTATATGGTATATTATTTAGCACACAACATTTCAACGATTTATATTGTGGTGATTCTTAAACATCATCATGTACCCTGAACTGTGGCAGTGGAATGGTTCAGTCGGCGAGTTGGATTTTCTCCTGCTAGGCGATTGGGTGCCATGTGTTTAAATCCTCCTCAGATAAATTTTGATGCTTGTGCCTTTGCTTCCGAGAGTCGGTCCAGTGTCGGCTTTCACCCTCTAATACCTGAATTGTCACTCTACGATTATTTGATTAAGAATGCACTCGTCAGTAACCCTGTAAACGTAAATTTTTGATAGTTATAGTATTAAATTCTCACCCAACTGCATCCATTTATAAAATTACATTGTTATATTATATTACTATAAAAACTTGTGAAAGGTTTGGTTCACTGAGTTGAGATATTTATCGACAGGTGACATAATCAAACTTGTATTACAATATGTAAAGGTGTATAGATATTTAACAACTATGGCAATAACAAGCGATCTCACTTCATTACAGGGACAGGCACGCCATATACGATTTACATCTCAAATTTCAAGGGTGAGCTGTTAACACTATTACTGATTAGTTTAGCCGAAAAATTTTCTTAGATTAAGGTTCGCTAGGTTGAAAGAATGGCGAATCTATCCCTTTTAAAGTGGTTGAAAAAGGTTTTGTAGTTTTAATGTTATACCGGTCATATATGGTATAATCACATCATTCCAATATTTCAACAGATATCTGTGGTTCCTGTAATTATAGAAATTACATCCTAAAAGATACTTTTAATTTGAAAACCTCTTTAAAATCCCTTTCAGCAAAAACTGTCAAGTGGGCAGTGAGGGTAATTTTGCCACATCAGCAGCCTGAGTCAACACTTTTGCGATTCCAGACTGTCGAACCATATTTGACATGTACAGCCTGTAGTACATTAGGCTTCTATTAAGTTTTTTATCATCAAGACTAGACGAATGTCCATGTCGGTCTGACCCGTGTCAGGATCGATCCCTGGACCTCAAGGTTAGAGGAAATGTCTAACATGTTGAGCCACTATGGCTTCCTTTCAGACGATGGAGCTAACAGTATATTATGTTAAAGGGATTGTTTACAAAGAAGTTTCTGAATGTTTTATGTGTATTGGGGACACTGACAGCATCAATTTACACCATTCCATGTTCTATTTTATCAACTGTAAACTTTTAGGGATTGTAAGGTGGTTTCAAAACTCTTTATGTGTATTCATAGCTTCTATTTGCGGCATTCCTATTTTCAATCAGACCGGTATATTATAGAAATGCTTAACCGTGTGTATAACCTCATTATCACTGAAGTTGCTGATAATAAATTATAGGTTTATTATACAATAATCATAAAACGCAGAGGTTAAGGTGAATTACAACAAACACTTAGGCGTCAGACCGGAAATTGGAATGGTACAAAAAAAACGGTATCAGTGTCCTTGATACAAATTTTGAAAATCTCTACACAATCCCTTTAAAGATATATATTAGTTTAATCTTAAGAGTTCAAAGGATTAAAATACTGTAAAAAAATTCATTCATAAAAGAAGCATGGCTGTTACGCTTGATTAGTTCAATATATAAACTGAAAGGGGAAGTTCTAATGTTAGGGTGTAAAACCAAATAATGGCCTTGTACAATATGATAATAGTATACTGCATTATTAGATTTTATGAATTAAAGTCTTTATCTACCAGTAATTTGATAAGTAGAGATTTGATTGTTAAAGGGGTATAGTCTCTGTTATCATGACGTATTGTCTGTATACATGTGTTGACATGAATAACATTACACTGGCCAAATTTACCACCTATTTCCTTCTGCAGCTAAATATAAATATTTGGTTATGAGAAACAAGTGGCCCAACCTTCGCCAGCCTTCACCAATCTTTTATTATGAATCATTGTACAGTGTTTTTTATTTTTTGTCGGCTAGCGTCCATTTGTAGCCATTTGGATTAAGTTATCAGTGAAGTGTTTGGATAAGGTAAATATCCAAGGAATAAACCTGTGTTATTTTGTGATAAGGAAGGCTAAGAGTATATCAGCTATTTTGTGTGTTATTCATTAGGTATAATAGTGATAAACTAGTCAATATTATGGTGATATATGTCTGTTATAATGAAATTCATCAAGGTATTATGATATTTTATTTTTTTAATTAATTAACGAATTATATTATATATGAGATGAAATATCGGATAACAGAAGCTTTAGATAATCATGTATTGACATTATCTCTTTCAGAGAACCCATACATCTTGTATTGTTTATATCATATGTCCATGTTCACATCTTGGCATTCCTTTCGGAGAGTCCGTATAGCTAACTTTATTTATTATCATATTTTGAAGATACTGTCAGAGTCCATATAGCTAACATTGTTTATTGCCATATTTGGGCGTTTCAAATGGGTAATCCTTCTGGAAAGTCAACAAAAGTCCATTTGTAGTATATTATAGCATTTAGAATTGTTATCAACTATTCACAGGTCCCAATTCTCAATTATTTTAAAAGATATTCTGGCACCTATTTTTATGTTATATTCTGGTATTTTTTACCTGAAAGAAAACTGTTCCAAGGGTACTAAGTTAGTAGGGTCTAAGAAGTTTCAGAGGGAGCCTGTTCCTTGTTTGATGTACCCCCAGTCCAGAATGGAAAATTTATTTTCATTTAATGAAAATGGCCTGTAGTAATTTTTCTTCGGATACAGTACTTAATTTTCCCTTAGTGACTGATTCGTGGTAATTTGGCTTCGATGGTCCCTTACATAGTGATGCCCCAGGGGCTAGACTTTCAATTTCCTCTGAGGAAATACCCTGAACTTGACCCTTGCCTTGGTCAGTAATGATTTATTTACAGCCATGACTAATGAAAACAATATATCGTCTGATAAGGGATTATTAAAGCGTGACGCAGGACGTCTGATGTAAATGTATAATGAATTACGTAAGATTCGTATCAATCCGTCTGGTGTTGGTGACTATAGACACTATTTCTCCCAGGAATATATTTAATATATTGAAAATTGTCAGATATATGTGTGGGCAGGAACAGGTTTATATCATTTCCATCTTCACAATGTCAAGGTATTCAAGGGACCTTCCAATACCTTGACATCAATAGGCAGGCACTCGTATCACACAATCAGACCTCGACAAAAAGATCCTGAACAAATAAGCCATATTGATTTAGTCTTTCTTTTGGTAATGTACGATCCAATCAAATCAAATCAAATCAAATCAAATCAAATCAAATCAAATCAAACCACAAGCCTCTTTGATACAAGAAAAGTGCCTATTGATGTCAAGGTATATAATATCAAGTTTGTAATATCTTGACATTGTGAAGATGGAGTTTGTAATAGCTTGACATTGTGAAGATGTAGTTTGTAATAGCTTGACATTGTGAAGATGTAGTTTGTAATATCTTGACATTGTGATGATGTTGTTTGTAATATCTTGACATTGTGAAGATGTAGTTTGTAATAGCTTGACATTGTGAAGATGTAGTTTGTAATATCTTGACATTGTGAAGATGTAGTTTGTAATAGCTTGACATTGTGAAGATGTAGTTTGTAATATCTTGACATTGTGAAGATGTAGTTTGTAATAGCTTGACATTTTGAAGATGAAGTTTGTAATATCTTGACATTGTGAAGATGAAGTTTGTAATATCTTGACATTGTGAAGATGTAGTTTGTAATATCTTGACATTGTGAAGATGTAGTTTGTAATATCTTGACATTGTGAAGATGTAGTTTGTAATATCTTGACATTGTGAAGATGTAGTTTGTAATATCTTGACATTGTGAAGATGAAGTTTGTAATAGCTTGACATTGTGAAGATGTAGTTTGTAATAGCTTGACATTGTGAAGATGTAGTTTGTAATATCTTGACATTG